CAGGGCTGGGTTTCAACCCACCACCTCCAGCATATGGGACCGGTGCCCTACCCTTTTGAGCCACAGGCGCCACCCTATTGTGTTGTTTTTTAAGACAGCATCTCGCTCTGTCACCCTGGCTAGAGTGAGGCAGTGTCATAGTTTACTCACTGCAACCTCAAACTCCTGGGCTCAAGTGGTCCCCACCTCTGCATCTCAAGTTTCAAGTCACCCTGACTGGCTAATTTTTTCTATTTTTAGTAGAGATGGGGTCTCACTCTTGCTCAGGCTGGTCTCAAACTCCTGGTCTCAAAAGATCCTCCCCATTTGGCTTCCCCGAGTGCTAGGATTACAGGTGTGACCACTGTATCCAGCCTTGGCAGGTACTTTATTGGCCTTATTTTGTAAGTGAGAAAATTGAGGCACGGAGAAATGAAGTCACTTGCTCAAGTTCACACAGCTCTGAAGCAGCAGAGCTGGGATTTGAACCCAAGTAGAGTAGGCTGCAATCACTCTACTAGTACAAGGGTTGTTACCATATGGCTCTGAGCCTAACTCAAGGTCCATGCCATTTGCATCTCTCTCTTTGCAGCCACTCCAACAAAACTCACACTGTGGCAGTGCCTGCTGGGCAGAGCTGGGTGGCCATTCCTCGGCAGCAGTTCACCGTGTTTGACAAACTCCTTGTCTGGGGGACCAAAGCAGGCCAGCCTCTCTGGCCCCCCACCTTCGTGAACCTGGAATCCCGAAGTAATGTGGCAGAAAGGTGGGGCATTACATATGGGGTAGGTGCTTATGGAGGGCCCAGCTCACTGTACCCCATCCTTCTTTTTCCCCAGTGAAGCCAAATGCTCCCCAGGTGGGCCCTGATGTGGACTTTTCAGAGGATGAACCCCTAGAGGCCAGTATCCAGTGGACTCCACCTACATGGCCGTCTCATAAAGTCCTGATCTGCCAATTCTACTACCGAAGATGCCAGGAGGTGACCTGGACCCTGGTGAGTGTCAGGGACTATTTCTCCCAACCCTGGCCCAGGTAGGGCCTGGGACATCATTCTCAAATCAGAGACCTAGCCCAAGGGCTTATTCTAAGCCTGTCTCTGGAGTCTGTGTACATTTAGTCTATTGTTCAGCTAAAAATTTTCCTCCCCAAATAATCTATTAACTGGGCATGGTATCTCATGTCTGTAGTATCAGCTACTTGCGGGTGCTGAGACAGTAGGATCCCTTGAGCCCAGGAGTTTGAGGTTGCAGTGAGCTAAAATGAAGACACTACATTCTAGTCTGGGCAGCAGAGCAAGACACTATCTCAAAAAAACAAAAAAACAAAAAAAATCTCCATTTTATAGTTAAGAAAGTTGAACCTCAGAGAAGTAGAGCAACTTTCCTAAGGTCACACAACCCTCCTAAGGGCACAGTAGGAAGTTGCAGATATTGTTTCCTCTCATACTCCATTGACCAGGAACATAGTCACATGGACTCACCTGACCACAAGGAAGACTGGGAAATGTAGTCTGTTCTTGGCAGTTATCGTCCCAACTAAAATGCAGCAAGTTTTGGATTCTATTAGCAAAAGCAGAAGAGGGGGTGGCACCTGTGTCTCAGTGGGTAGGGTCCAGCCCCATATGCTGAGGGTGGTGGGTTCAAACCCAACCCTGGCCAAACTGCAACAGAAAAAAAATAGCTGGGCATTGTAGTGGGTGCCTATAGTCCCAGCTACTCGGGAGGCTGAGGCAGGAGAACCACCTAAGCCCAAGGTTTTGGAGGTTGCTGTGAGCTGTGATGCACTCTACTGAGGGTTAATAAGTGAAACTCTGTCTCAAAAAAAAAAAAAAAAACAGCAGAAGAGGAAAGATACTGGGGACAGGGGAGGGGAAACCAACTTCCTTGCCTGCAGCTTTTGATGCCAAACACCACCATGAAGAATAGAGTTGTTGGGCGGTTCCTGTGGCTCAGTGAGTAGGGCGCCAGCCCCACATACTGAGGGTAGTGGGTTCAAACCCAGCCCTGGCCAAACTGCAACAAAAAATAGCTGGGCGTTGTGGTGGTCGCCTGTAGTCCCAGCTACTTGGGAGGCTGAGGCAGAAGAATCGCCTAAGCCCAGGAGTTGGAGGTTGCTGTGAGCTGTGACTCCACTGCACTCTACCGAGGGTGATAAAGTGAGACTCTGTCTCTACAAAAAAAAACAAGAATAGAGTTGTCTGCTCGGCGTCTGTGGCTCAAGCAGCTAAGGCACCAGCCACATACCCCTGAGCTGGCAGGTTAGAATCCAGCCTGGACCCGCCAAACAATAATGGCTGCAACAAAAAAATAGCCGGCCATTATGGGAAGTGCCTGTAGTCCCAGCTACTTGGGAGGCAGAGGCAGGAGAATCGCTTGAGCCCAGGAGTTGGAGGTTGCTGTGAGCTGTGATGCCACAGCACTCTACCCAGGGTGACAGCTTGAGGTTCTGTCTCAAAAAAAAAAAAAGAATAGAGTAGTTGTCATTGTGATTATTCATGCAACAGAGCAACACTGAGATGCAGAATCTGAATGCTGGGGGAGAAATCTCAGCTCTGTGACCTTGAGCAAGTCACTGCCCCTCTCTGGGCCTCAGTTTACTCATCTGTAAAATGGGGATAATATTAATAACAGAACTTACAAACTCCTGTTCTACTTGGTACACAGCATGACCAACTTGTCTCTGCCTGGGATTGTGTCAGTTTTAAAATGGAAAGATCCATGTTCTGAGACCACCCTCTACAACTGGTCCCCAGCAAGCCCAGAGTGACAATTGGTTACTCTGTTGATACATAAATTCAAGTACCTTCAACTCAGCCATGGGTCCCTTTACTTTTCTGTCTCTTTCCCTTAGCTGGAATCAGAACTTACGACCATCCCCCTGGCTCCTATTGAGATCCAGGATTTGGAGCTAGGCACAGGCTATGAGGTATATGGCCGCTGCCGAATGGAGAAAGAAGAGGATTTGTGGGGTGAGCAGAGCCCCATTGCATTCTTCCAGACACTGCCTTCTGGTAAGCATAGCTGAGCTTGTGCCCAAATTTGACCTGTCCCTCCTAGAAGTCTGGCCCATTGCATTTGTCTCATTTTTTCCTCTTCCTTGCCAGCTCCAAAAGATGTGTGGGTATTGGGGAACCTCTGTGGCATGTCAGGAGGACAGGAACCTCTGCTCCTTTGGAAGGTGAGCTGTGGGGACCAGTTAACATTTCTCTGGACCTCAGTATACTCATCTGTAAAGTGAAGATACTAATATAACTTACCTATTTAGGGATAGAAAATCCCTAAATATCAATGGCATGAACAAGACAGAGCTTATTGTACTGCTCTCTTTAGGTTGCTTCAAGACCTGAGAAGTCCCAGCATAGAGTCCAGCATGGAGCAAGCCTCCACTGATGTTAGCTACTTCTTTTTAAAAAGAAGTTTTTTTGGTGGTGGCACCTGTGGCTCAAAGGCATAGGATGCCAGCCCCATATGCCAGAGGTGGTAGGTTCAAACCCAGCCCTGGCCAAACACTGCAAAAGAAAAAGAAGTTTTTTTATTTTTAAACTATTATGGGTACATAATAGTTGGATACCTTAAATGTCAGCTACTTTTGAGAGCTCAGAGACATGAGGATGGATGCAGTATTCCAGGTTGGGGGGCGAAAGATGCAAAGTATAGAAGTAAGACTAGGGCTCAGCTCCTCAAAATACAACAGTGTGCTGAGAGCTTGAATGCTAGTATTAGCAAAAGACCAGACAAGGTTGTGGTTGTCCTCACTGATTCAAATCTGTTGAGTAACTACTATGTGCCAGGCATTGCTAGACTTGGGCTCTTGGCAAACGTGGCAAGGAACAAAATGACAGGGCCTGTACCTTCTTGGACCAGATAATCTAACTTCCTTAATTTTGATCTTACATAGCATGTATAGGTCCTAGTCTCCATACTTACTTATATTAACTAACTTTACAGATGAGAAAAAGGAGACTTAGATAGGTTATCCTAAAATCATACAGCTGGTTAATGGCCGAGTTGAGATTCACTGTTGTTTGTTTATTTATTTATTGACAAGAGTCTCTCTCTGTCACCTAGGCTAGATTGCCATGGTGTCAGCCTAGCTCACAGCAACCTCAAGCAATCTTCCTGCTTCTCAGCCTCCCAAGTAGCTCGGACTACAGGCACCCACCACAACGCCTGGCTAATTTTTCTATTATTAGTAGAGATGGGGTCTCACTCTTGCTTAGGCTGGTTTAGAACTTCTGAGCCCAACTGATTCTCCTACCTCAGCCTCCCAGAGTGCCAGGATTATAGGTATGAGCCACCATGACTGTGCTATTTTTTTAAATTTTTATTTATTGTTTTAGAGACAGGATCTCACTCTGTCACCCCAGCTGGAGTACAGTGGTGTGATCATAGCTCACTGCAACAAATTCCTAGGCTCAAGAGATTCTCTTGCCTCAGTCTCCTGAGTAGCTGGGGCTACATGTAATGCCACCATGCTTGAATTTTTTTTTTAGAAATGGGGTCTCGTGTTCCCCAGACTGGTCTCAAACTCTGGTTCTCAAGCAATCCTCCTTTCTCTGCCTCCTATAATCTCTGCTAGGATTATAGGCATGAGTCATTATGCCCAGTTATTCTGGCTTTTAAATCAGTAATTCTTGGGTAGCACCTGTGGCTCAGTGAACAGGCTGCCAGCCCCATATACTGAGGGTGGCGGGTTCAAACCCAGCCCTGGCCAAACTGCAACAAAAAAATAGCCGGGCGTTGTGGCAGGCTGAGACAAGAGAACTGGGAGGCTGAAGCAAGAGAATTGCTTAAGCCCAGGAGTTGGAGGTTGCTGTGAGCTGTGACGCCCCGGCACTCTACCAAGGGTGATAAAGTGAAACTCTGTGTCTACAAAAACAAACAAACAAATAAAAAAAAAAACCAGTAATACTCATTCCTGGTGCATCTTATAATGCATACTTTGTAACATCCCTTTATTATGCCTATAATCCTAGCACTGAGGCTGAGATAAGAGGATTGCGTGAGCCCAAGAATTTGAGGTTACTATTAGCTATGATGTCTCGCACTCTACCCAGGGTGACAGAGTAAGACTCTGTCTCAAAAACAAACAAACAAACAAACAAGGCCAGACGACCAACCCGAGCAAGAGCAAGACCCCCTAGCTGGGAGTTGCGGCATGTCCCTGTAAGCCCCAGATACTCAGGGGGCTGAGGAAGGAGGGTGGCTTGAGCCCAAGAGTTTGAGATTGCTATAAGCTATGATGACACTACTGCACTCTAACCTGAATGACAGAGTATGACTGTCTCTTTTGAGTGACAGTCTCACTCTGTCACCCTGGATAGAGTGTCATGGCATCATAGCTCACAGTAATCTCAAACTCTTGGGCTTGAGCATTCCTCTTGCCTCAGCCTCCCGAGTAGCTGGGGACTACAGGAACCTGCCATAATGCCCAGCTAATTTTTCTATCTTTAATAGAGATAGGGTCTCACTCTTGCTCAAGGGCTCATATAATGAACTCCTGGGCTCAAGCAATCTACTCACCTAGGCCTCCCGAAGTGCTAGGATTACAGGTATGAGCCACTGTGTCTGGCCTCAAAACAAAATTTTGATATTTTATTTGTCATGGATGTATGCATTAATTTTGATTGATTAAAAGACTACATTAAAATATTATTTATCTTGGCTCAGCGCCCATAGCATAGTGGTTACCGTGCTGGCCACATGCACCGAGGATGGTGGGTTCAAACCCAGCCTGGGCCTGCTAAACAGCAATGACAACTGCAACCAAAAAATAGCCAGGCATTATAACAAGTGCCTGTAGTCCCAGCTACTTGGGAGGCTGAGGCAAGACAATTGCTTAAGCCCAAGAGTTTGAGGTTGCTGTGAACCGTGACACCACACCCTCTACAGAAGGCAACAAAGTGAGACTCTGTCTCAAATAAATAAATAAATAAAAATGAAAAAATATATATTATTTATCTCAATTCCTGGGCTTTGGTATCCCCCACTTTTGAATTTTGTATCCAAGGCATGTTGTCTGCCCTGCCTTACCCTAGTTCTGATCCTGGAACCATTTGAATCCCACCTCTGCTGCTGAGCTCCTGTGGAACTCAATTTCTCATCTATAAAATGGAGCCAGACAAAAGACTTCACTGACTGGTTTATCGGGTGACCTTGCAGAGATACACTGTATGTGCTTGATAAATGGAAGACTTTTTTTTTTGAGACAGAGTCTTATTATGTCACCCTTGGTAGAGTATGGTGGCATCACAACACTCGGCTATTTTTTTGTTGTTGTTGTCATGGTTTAGCAGGCCCAGGCTGGGTTTGAACCCACCAGCCCCAGCGTATGTGGCTGGCACCCTAACCTCCGAGCTACGGGTGCCGAGCCGATAAATGGAAGATACTAACCTCTTCTTCACCTCATCCTTCAGGGCCCAGGGTCCTGTGTGCAGGTGAGGTACCGAGTCTGGTTTGGGGTTGGAGAGCAGGAGCTGGGTCCAGAAGAGATTGTCCCCTGCTGCAACTTCTCCATCCCCACTTGGGCAGAATGGGCCAAGGTGTCTGTCATCAATGCCACAAGCTGGGATCCTCTCACCAACCTTTCTTTGGTCTGTTTGGGTAAGAGACTGTGGATTTCCTCAGCTCAGTGTGCAGGAGGGGGAAGAGGCAAATTCTCAAGTGGGCAGCTGGGCATTCTTTTCTCTACCCTTTAGCTCCAGGCTCTGGCCCCCATGGTGTGGAGGTCAGTGGCATCACTGGGGGCACAGAGCTGCTGGTGACCTGGCAACAGGGCCCTGGGGAGCCACAGGAACATGTGGTAGACTGGGCTCGGGATGGCGAGGAGGAATTCAACTGGATCCGGCTTCCCCCTGGCAACCTCAGTGTTCTGTTACCAGGTAAGGCCCCTGAACGCCTGGGTTCCCATCCAGTTTTTTTTGGACAGGGTATCACTCTGTCACCCAAGCTGCAGTACAGCGTGTTATTGTAGCGCATTGAAACCTCAAAACTCCTGGACTCAGCGATCCTTCTGCCTCAGCCTCCCAAATAGCTAGGACTACAGTTGCACAGCCCCATACCTGGCAAATTTTTCCTATTTTTTAGTGGAGATGAGGTCTTGCTCTTGCTTAGCCTGGTCTCAAACTCCTGCCTCAAGTGATCTTCCCACCTTACCCCCCCACAGTGCTAGGATTACTGGCGCAAGCCACTGTGCCATCTCAGTTGTTAAAGGAGAGCAGACCAATGGGTTAACTTGCAGGAGAGAGTTTTATAATTAAAGTATCATTAATTCTGGCAGTGCCTGTAGCTCAGTTGGCAGGGTACCAGCCACATATACTGAGGGTGGCGGGTTTGAACCCACCCTGGCCAGTTAAAACAACAATGACAACTGCAACAACAAAAAAAATGGCCAGGGCACCTATAGTCCCAGCTACTTGGGAGGCTGAGGCAAGAGAATTGCTTAGGCCCAAGAGTTTGAAGTTCCTATGAGGTGTGATGGTATAGCACTCTATCCAGGGCAACATCTTGAGACTCTGTCTCAAAAAAAAAAAAGGTATTAATTCATGCAAGAAATATCAACGGACTACTAACTATATGCCAGGTCCTGTTCTAGGCACAGTAATGGCAGGTGATGACTACTGGCATGTACCATTAGCACAAAATCATTCAAACTACCTAATAAAGTAGGTTTCTATTATTGTGACTCTCAATTTACAGATGAAGAAACAGGCCCAGAAAGTTTAAGCAACTTGCCCAAGGGCACAGAGCAAGTAGGGAGAAAAGCCAGGATTTGAACCATATAGTTAGGCTCTGAGCTCTGAGCCATCTCAGCAACATTCCCATCCTCACAGATCCTGATATTCCTGTGGGATGGGCAGCCAGTAAAACAAGCAAAAAATCCCCAAGTACAACTGTAATATAACTGTGGCAAAATAGAGCTGGAAAAAGGGGAGGAGAGAGACTGGCTATTTTAGAAAGAAAGGGTAGAAAAGTTCTCTCTGGGGAAGTGGCATTTGAGCTGAGACGTGAAGGAAGAGATGGGGGAGCCATGAGGATGCCTGAGGGAAAAGTGTTCTAGGGAGAGGGAACTGGTACAAAGGCCCTAAGGCAGGAATGTGTGTTAGAGGAGGTCGGTGTGACCAGAGTAGAGGGGAAGGAAGTAAAGGCAAAAACTGGGACTGGGCAGGCTGTGCAGGGCCTTGTGGGCCACTGAAAGGATTTTGCTTCTGAGTAAGGTGGGAGACATGGAGGGTTCTTGAGCAGAGGAGGGGCAGGACCTGACTCAGGTGTTCACAGGTGCCCTCTGGCTGCTAAAGGGGGAACAGACTGTGGAAGTGGGGCAAGAGCAGTAGCCAGGAAACTTGAGAGGAAATACCTGCAGTGGTCCAGGAACAAAATAAATGATGGGGTGGACCATAGTTAGGGGAGATGCTGACACATTCTGGTTGGCGACCCCTTTGGATATATTGAGTCTGAGATGCTCATCAATGGGCATCCATGTGGAGACATTCTGCGATTGTCATATACTTAGGTCTGGGGTTCTGGAAAGTTCTAGACTGGGGCCTGGTATTACGGATTCTGTCCGTGGTTTAAAGAACTTGGAAAAGCAGTGAAGGTGTTGGATGAGAAATTTGGGACAAAATCTCAAGGCACACAAATGTGTATGATCAAAAGTAGTTCCAATTCTGGAAAATTCCCATTGGGTTTAGAGGAGAGGCCTCAAAGAGCCTCACTTAACCATGGTAAGTGTTGTCCATTGCCCACTCAGAGGTTGTAGGATTATACCTCTGTGTTTGACCACCCCAGAATCCACACTTACATTTCCAGCCTGAGGACTTTTTCTGGTCACTGAGGCATTGTGACTGCTTGAGCTGCAAGTTGGAAGCCCTGGAGACTTAAGACCTCTGAGGGCTGGTGGATAAATATTCCAGCTACCTCTGGCAGGGTGGGATGACTTTGAGGCCTTCAAGTACGTGCTCTCTGCTGCCCTCTAGAGATCCCCAGGGGGCCTGAGCCTCAACTGCCCACAGTGGGAACTTGCTCCTTCCCTGTGGCCTTGTTAGCGTTTTCCGGGATTGCCTTCCAGATAAATCACTTATACTTAAATCCTTATCTCAGAGTGTACTTCTGGGGACCCAAATGAAGACTCCTACCTAGTAGGAAATGAGCGGAGGAGACTCTAACTGGCTTTTGTGCCTTTCTGCCATCCAGGGAATTTTGAAGAAGGAGTCCCCTATCGAATCACAGTGACTGCAGTCTCTGCTTCAGGCTTGGCCCCGGCACCTCATGTCTGGGGGTTCAGAGAGGAACTAGGTAACAGGTGGGGCTAGAGGGTGGAGGAGGATCCTAGGATCCAGACAGACTTTGACTCCATGGCTTTCTCTGCAGTACCCATAGCGGGGCCAGTGCTCTGGCGACTCCAAGATGCCCCCCCAGGAACTCCCACCATAGCGTGGAGAGAAGTCCCTAGGCGGCAACTCCGGGGCCACCTTACCCACTATACCTTGTGTGCACAGAGTGGAACCAGGCCCTCCGTTTGCATGAATGGTGAGTTTCCTGCCTAGGGCCAGGTCCTCCCAGCCCCAACAGGACCCTCACCCGGTCACCTCACCCTTGCCCCTACCTGGGCCCCTATGGCATCCTCTTAGCCTCTGGGACAACACATGACAGTCATCAATTCCTTTTCGGCTATCAATGTAATGGACTCTTACTCAGCCATTAACAATGAAGATTCCAATCTATATTTATGGACATTAAAAGATGCCTGTCATATTTTATTAAATGAAAAAGATAAAAGGATCACAAAATCTGTGGTGTGGTTCCCTTGTGGTAAAACAAATGCCATATTGAGCAAAGCAGAGACACAAATATGAAAAGAAATTCTCCTCAATGTCAACAGAGGTTGTAGGATTATACCTTTGGTTATAAGACTAAATTTTTACTCTGAGCATAAATTTCTTTTTTTAAAAAAACCTTGTGGCTTGGTGCCTGTAGCTCAGCGGCTAGGGCACCAGCTACATACACTGGAGCTGGTGGGTTCGAAATGGGGGCTGCAAAAAAGACAATGACAACTACAACCAAAAAATAGCCGCATGTTATGGTGGGCACCTGTAGTCCCAGCTACTTGGAAGGCTGAGGCAAGAGAATCGCTTAAGCCCAGGAGTTGGAGGTTGCTGTGAGCTGTGACGCATGGCACTCTACCCAGGGTAACAGCTTGAGACTGTGTCTCAAAAAAAAAAAAAAAAAAAAATCTTGTATTACTCTTTTTTTCTGGATTATAGAAGTTATCTGTGTTTGTTACAAAAACCAACTCATTAAATAAACATATCACCAAGAAGGTCAGCAGTCTCACTGTGTCACTGACACTGACAGTACAACTTCCAGAATTTTCTATGCAGGTATTAACATAGAAATGGAAATTATAGGGGGTTTTAGAAATATTTTAATATTTTGCCGGGGTGTGGTGGCTCAGGCCTGTAATCCTAGCACTCTGGGAGGCCGAGGCCACTGAATTGCTTGAGCTCAGGAGTTCAAGACCAGCCTGAGCAAGAGTGAGACACCATCTCTAAAAATAGCCAGGCATTTGTGGTGGGTGCCCGTAGTCCCAGCTACTCAGGAAGCTGAGGCAAGAGAATCACTTGTGCCCAAGAGTTTGAGGTTGACGCCAGGGGGACTGAATGAGACTTTGTCTCAAAAATATATATGTATATTTTAACTTTTTATCATAGAAAATTTTAAGCACATACAAATAGGGAGACTAACATAAGAAATCCACATGTACCCACTCTCCAGCTTGAACAATTGCCAGTGTTTCATTAATCTTGCTTCAATTTATTCCCCACCCTTATTTTTTGCTAGAGTCTTGGTGTCATTTCATCACTAAATAAATCACTATTTCTGGGCAGTGCCTGTGGCTCAAGGAGTAGGGTGCCGGCCTCATATACCAAGGGTGGCAGGTTCAAGCCTGGCCCTGGCCAAAAAAAAAAAAAAAAACATTCTTGAGCAGCGCCTGTGGCTCAATGAGTAGGGCACTGGCCCCATATACTGAGGATGGTGGGTTCGAACCTGGCCCTGGCCAAACTGCAACAAAAAATAGCCAGGTGTTATGGTGGGCGCCTGTAGTCCCAGCTACTCGAAAGGCTGAGGCAAGAGAATTGCCTAAGCCCAGGAGTTGGAGGTTGCTGTGAGCTGTGATGTCACAGCACTCTACTGGGGGGGATAAAGTGAGACTCTGTCTCTGAAAAAAAAATAAAAAATAAATAAATTGCTACTTCCATGTTTATTTCTAACTGATAAGGCCTGTTTTTGTTTGTTTTCCAGACAGGTTCTCACTCTATCAGTGCAGGGTGAAGCTTAATGGCAAGATCATAGCTCACTTATCCTCAGCCTCCTGGCTTCAAGCAATGCTCCTGGCCTCAGCGTCCTGACTAGCTGATACTACAGGTGCCTGCCACCATATCTAGCTAAGTTTTTCTATTCTTTTGTAGAGACGGGGTCTTGTTATTTTGCTCAGGCTGGTCTTGAACTCTTGGCCTTAAGCAGTCCTTCTGCTTTAGCCTCCCAAAGTGCTGGGGGTACAGGTGTGAGCCTGTACCTTGGTTGGCCAAGGACTATTTTTAACATAATTACCATGATTCTACCCTGCAAAATTATGTGTGTGTGTGTACATATATATATAAAATATATTATGACTGGCGTTTTACAACTTCTTTTTTTTTTTTTTACCTGATCATTTGCCTATACACCTTTCTATATCCATATATCTTGATCTGTGTTCTTTTCTCCTAAAATCTTATAACCAAAAGGTAATGTCCTCTTTGGTTAAAAAGTAAAGAGGCTGGGGGTGGTGGCTTATGCCTGTAATTCTAGCACTCTGGGAGGATCACTTGAGCTCAAGGGTTGAGACCAGCCTGAGCAAGAACAAGACCCCATCTCTAGGCCAGGTTTGGTGGTTCACACCTGTAATCCTAGCACTCTAACAGGCTGAGACGGGTGGATTGCTTGAGCTCAGGAGTTCAAGATCAGCCTAAGCAAGAGTGAGACTTCGTCTCTAAAAATAACCGAGTGTTAATGGCAGACGCCTATAGTCCCAGCTACTTGGGAGGCTGAGGCAAGAGGATAGCTTGAAACCAAGCGTTTGAGGTTGCTGTGAGCTATGATGCTATGGCACTCTACTGAGGGTGGCAGAGTAAGACTGTCTCAAAAAAAAAAAAAACCTCTACAAAAACTAGAAAAAAAAAAAAAAAACTAGAAAAATTAGCCGGGTGTGGTGGTACGTGCCTATAGACCCAGCTACTCAGGAGGCTGAGGCAGCAGTATCCCTTGGCCCCAGGAGTTCAGGACTGCAGTGAGCTATGATTATGCCACTGCACTCTAATCTGGGCAACAGATTATGACTCTGCCTCTAAAAATAAAAATAAAGAAAGAATAAAACGTAGTGTTTGATAGATCAATAGGGAGACTATAGTTTATAATAATCTATTGTATATTTTTAAATGGCTAGAAGAGAATAATTCAAATGTGATAGTATAAAGAAAAAACAAATACTGGGAGGTGCCTGTGGCTCAAAGGAGTAGGGCACTGGCCCCATATACCGGAGGTGGTGGGTTCAAACCTAGCCCCGGCCAAAAACTGCAAAAAAAACAGAAAAGAAAAAACAAGTATTTAAGGTGATGAATCTCCCAATTACACATATTTGGTCTTCACAAACCATATGAATGTATTAAATTACCACACATGCCCCCTACATATGTACATCTATTCTGTGTCAACAAAAACCAATATTTAAGCAAGTGAAAAACAAAGGACCAGAATTTTAAAAAGTAAAACATAGTTCTGAGGGGTCTAAACATCTTTCTCATGATTGGGGTGACTGTCCCTACACCAGGTTCTATGTAGGGGAGGGGTAAGATGTTCATTCATTCTTTTATTTATTCAAAAATATATCACTTTTGAGGACATAATACATGCCAGGCACTGATGCAAATGTGGGGGGTAAGGCCCTTGTGGAGCTGATCTTCTGATGGGGTACCCACATGTAGACAAACTGAATAATATCTAAGTAGTTTATGAGATGTTGGCAAGTGCTAAATAGGGAATGAAGCAGGGTAGGTGGGTGGTAGAAGGCGTGTAATTTTTTTTTAATTTTTTTTTTTTTTTTTTTTGACAGAGAGTCTCAGTATGTCACCCTCAAACTCTTGGGCTTAAGTGATTCTCTTGCCTCAGCCTCCCAAGTAGCTGAGACTACAGGTGCCTGCCACAATGCCCAGCTATTTTTTTGTTGCAGTTATTTAGCTGGCCAGGGCCGGGTTCGAACTTGCCACCCTCAGTATATGTGGCTGGTGCTGTAACCACTGTGCTGCAGGCACCGAGCCAGGAGTGTAATTTTTAAATAGGGAAGAGTGGTCAGGGAAGGTCTCACTGAGGAGGTGACATTTGAGTAAAGGCCTAAAAGAGACAGGTAGGGAGCCAGGAGGTCATCTAGGGGAGAGTGTCACAGGCACTGGGAAGAGCACACGCAAAGGCCCTAACGGAGAACTTCATGGCTTCCCCAACTTCTTTGGTTGTGTCCTTTAGTGAGTGGCAACACCCAGAATGTCACACTGCCTGACCTTCACTGGGGCCCCTGTGAGCTGTGGGTAATGGCATCCACCATCGCGGGACAGGGTCCACCTGGTCCCAGCCTCTGGCTTCACCTACCAGGTAGGGAGTCTGCACCATCAGGAAGGGGTGGCACTTAGGGCTTAAGTGGGTGGACAATTTTTTGACTTGGGGGAAGATTATTATCAGTACTATTTTAGAGACTGGGTCATGCAGTGTTGCCCAGGCTGGAGTGGGAACCATGATGATGATGATGATGATGATTTTGTAATTTCAATGGGGGAAAGGGGGACATGGCTTTCAGGAAATGGAAATACACACACTCCCCAGGGATGTCTTTTTTATTTTAAAATATTAAGGGGGTGCAAATGTTTTAGGTTATATGGATCAGAGATCATTATTGACTATGTGTCAAGGGCATTTTGATTCTACTAAATGCTGCTGTGAGGTGGTGCAGTGGCTCACACCTGTCATCCTAGCACTCTGGGATCTGAAGCAGGTGGATTGCTTGAGCTCATGAGTTCGAGACCAGCCTGAGCAAGAGCAAGACCCTATCTCTACTAAAAATAGAAAAACTTGGTTTGGCGCCTGTGGCTCAAGTGGCTAAAGCACCAGCCACATACACCTAAGGTGGTGGGTTCGAATCCAGCCCAGGCCCGCCAAACAACAATGATGGCTGCAACCAAAAAATAGCCGGGCGTTGTGG